TAAACCATTTGTCAAATATACAAGTTTCCTCATGTTGAATGGCATATTAAAAAAATAAATGTGATCACGGTACAAAATGCTCGGTAAATTGTTTGCAATAATCTATCAAATTGGAAATATGTTTAGACTATGTTGTCACTGAGCAGTGATAACCATCTTTGATTGGCAGACCATATAAATCACTTCATGACTATTCGAGATGAACCAGCCAAAGGCTAGAAATCTCGCTAATAAATCATTAACATGGAGAAGAAGTTTGTAAATTTTCAGCGGCATCGTGAAATTCGCCAAAAAATGGCTGAGCTATGATTTTTAAAACATTTCAAGTTTGCCGTTCCACCTTTTTTAGAGGCTTGGTTGGAGGAGTGTTAAAAAAGCCTTCATGCTTTGCTGTGCAACGCCACAGCTGCTGCGCAAGCATGGGAAAATTCATTCACTCGCGCGAGCACCACAGAATCAAAATAGCAATCCTCACCTACAAACAGATTGCTGAACGATTGTAAATTCTTCCAACCAAGTGGCTCTGCAGCTCGACTCAGAACTGATAGCAGTAGAAGGAAAGAAGGATAAGCTGAAAGGCAGCCGAACAATTTTCTCTAGCGAGGGAGAACCAGATTGAATGCGTAAAATCCGAATGCTAACGATTAAATAGCCGAGTCAGATAGTTTTTGGTGAGTTGATATAATGTCGATAGGATTAAGTATATGTTTTAGAAATAGTGAATTTTTTGAATCATAAATCATAATCCAAATCTCCTTTTCCCTCTCCAGATCCAAACAATTGTCGTCCACTAACCTCGAGAAGACCGCGAGTAATCGGTCAAATCCTTTAATTTTAGATTTAAGACTAAAGAAAATGATAACTTGGCTCTGTAAAGTTTATTCGATTGAGCTTGTACAAATAAAGTAATTAACAAAAAAAAAGATAGTTTTTGGATCACTGATTTAAATCAGTTGAATTGGTCACAGCAGGTTTATGTTATTTGCGTGACGCGTATGTTCATGTGTTACAGTATAACAGTTTTCTCGATATTAATAGCGATTTAAATGTGTCAATGTATGGTTAAAGCTAGAAAATAAAAAGTGATTCTTTCTGCAACATTCTCATTCAGCTCACTCAGCAGAATGCTATCGTAAAAGGCTCAGCATGGAAAAAATAATAAGTGAGGAATCATCCACACTACTACACTCAGAATCATTCATGTTACGCTCAGCTGTCTGTTTTGCTCAATTCTGCGTTCATAGAAGAAAATAGAAGCAATGCGAATACGAACGAAATCAGTGAGGCTCACACAAGCTGCTGTTCTAACGGCGCCAGTGGTGTAGTGGTAAGCGTGATTACCTCTCACCCCAGCAGGCCTGGGTTCAATCCCAGTCGGCGCCGCCGGGATGTTCTGAGGCATAATATCTCTGATCACGCCTTCCTTCGGATGGGAAGTAAAGCCGTTGGTCCCCGGTTCATGAGTTGATGGGTCGATAGGTAGGGTCCAGGTGTGGGAGCTGCCTTCCTGGCACGTCGGTAGCATTGGTGCTCAGCACCAGCGTTGCCAGGTTGCCAGATTTATCTGGCACAGCCAGAGAAATTTTTGCTCTGCCAGACAGATTTTTTGAGAAATCTGGCAGGTTCCTATGTTAATTTGCTGTGCCAGATTTTCGCCAGACATTTTTTTCGGGTTTTGCCAGATTTTTTCTAAATAAGCCTGGCATCTCTGCTCAGCACGGAAAACAAGATCGACGGAAAAAACAAAAACCAAAACAAGCTGCTGTTCGTTTCTGATGTTGTATGCGTGTGAGTGAGTAGCAAATGCAAATGGAACGATTTTTCCCATGCTTGCTGCTGCGTCGACAACCTCCCCCGCACAGCAAAAAAATAATTTTGATATCACGTCAAAGTGTATGCACTACAATCATGTCGAAAATATGGTGTAATATTACTTGCTAAAAAGGACAAAATTATCATTGATACAATGCATGAACTGACATTACGCTGCTTTTACTGCATTTGTTTATTTATGTGGTCATAAAAATTACATGAAATTTTCGACATGATTGTAGTGCATCCACTTTGATGTGATATCAACATTATTTTTTTGCTGTGCGGGTGCATCTTGGGATTTGCCAAGACTGCACTTCTAGAGCCTACATCCAGCAGTGCAAGCTTTGCCGTTGGTCTACGCATAATGTCTCCGGATATTTGCCCCTTAGCTTGTCGAACTCTACCGTCAGTGCCTACGAACGTCTACTACCCGTCCTGTCATCGAGTTGATGTGATTTGATATGTCGCTTGATATGGTAATGAGAGATATCAAATTTGACCAACCATGAACCATGCGAAACCATGATCCGGAATACCTAGAACTGGTTCTACGGTGACCATATGGCTCCGTGGTTTTGAGTGTCATTGGTCATATTTCGTCGAGTAGATGTGATTTGATATGTCGCACAATGGTAGATCATAAATTTGACCATATGGAACCATAATCCGGAACATCAGATTCCACCACGAAAAAAAAATCAATATGTTGTCGCATTGATAAGTAAGATAGGGGAAATGTATGTAATGTCGGCCTAAGTGTCCCTAATTTGGGCGCATACATAAATTCAGCAATCGGCTAAATTTTCAAAAGCAACCCAATATTTTAATTAGTACCGTCCCAATGACGTGTTCATCTAGATAAAATTGATAAATAGCAACTGTTTAGCGAAGGGCCCATTCTTAGATCCATAGGCCAACATTAGAGCCATTTCCCCTATATGATAAAGATTGAAAAAAACGCCCTCATGCCAACACACTGAATATATATATCAAAGAGGGAGGGGCCTGAGAGGGATTACCATCCAACAGATGTAAGAACCACATCGCAAAAAATTACTTTTAATATTACATCAAAGTGGATGCACTTCAATCGTGTCGAAAATATGGTGTAATTTTATTTACCAAAAAGGACAAAATTATAATTAATACTCGGAACTAAAAATCACGGCCAACTATCCAGAACAAAATTTTCTCATATATACACCGTGAACTCTGGTTCACGGCTGTGGTTCACGAATATGGGAACTCTTTTTTTCCCGTGTACAGTGCATGAACTGACATTAAGCTGCTTTTACTGTATTTGTTTATTTGTGTGGCAATAAAATTTACATGACATTTTCGACATGATTGAAGTGCATCCTCTTGGATGTAAAATTAAAATTTATTTTTGGATGTGCACCCACAAGAATGATGTTAAAAAACAATTTTATCGGCAATGGCATTGCTGAGATACAAATTTATGAAAATTAAAAGTTTGTCCCGGGCTTTTACGGGTTGAGATTGATAAGTTACTGTAGCACATAGGTTAAAATGAAATGTAATTTATTTTCAATTTGGAACAAATAAAGAATTAAAAACGCGTCCAAAACCTGATTGACGATAAGTCAAAGACAAAAAAAGTCTTATGTGCGTTTCCGCCAATGATGTCCATTTCATTAGCGAAGCCCCGAGGCTGTACAGACTTCAACGATTTTACCACTTGTGAATATTCCCGCTTTTCGGATTACACCTTCCAATACGGTTTTAAACAGGAGACACGAAAGTCCACCACCTTTCCGTAACTTTCCAAGAAACAATTTTGGTTTTATCATACTTATGAAGAGGTTCATAAAGCTTAGAATCGACTTGAAGACCATACACAAACCGGAAATATTACCCGACTGCCCTGCAATGGCTTTGCCCAAGCCTGAACATCCTGCCGGACGGTCCATCCACACTCATTAATCACCGGACAATGGACACTTATGCGAGGCGGGCAGTTTTGCTGAGTCAACCCTTGTGGTAGCCATTTGATACATACTTATCCATCGAGGATGACACGCCAACACTCTTCATCGAACGCAAAAACGGGTTCCGTGTTTAGCCAGAACTACCGGAGGCGCAGCATGACACAGTGAAATATGATCCCACAAACCACCGTAATCTCACCCATCGTCGACGACGCGCTGACCTTTTCCTCCACCCGGCCCGGCACGAGGAAGGAGTCCATTTCACCGCCTAATTAGGGGTGATAATTATTACGCTCGAGAAAGTCGATCCCTCCAATGTGGTTCGACCGCTGCGCTATTGCCGGACTCGAAGAAGCGTGAAAAGAACCTCTCACAACTCAATTACTGACCAATTAGAGTGTGATACATTCACAGAGTCTTTCCTACACGAGTCGAGTGCTTTATTTGCACGGACAAAGGTCGTTGGTTTTTGTTTTTGCTGTTTTTTTTTTCAGGATGGCTTTCAAGGTACCATTAGAGTAGGGAGGACTATTGTGTGTTGTTCGCCTCCTGCTGAGGTGACCCGAGCATGCTGATAGGCAGACCAGCAAGGAAATACCGATGGGGGTGGAAAACATGGGTAAGCAACCAACCGTACCAGAATGAGTTAATAAATGAAACATTATGACACTTTGTGTCGTGGTGGGCCATTTTCCACGCTATTATTGCCACTTTTGGATGTTTGTCGCGCTCGTTTGACGTGAGTCAGCAACTTCGGTAATGGATTCTTTGGATGGGAATTTTATCGTTTTGTACAAAGAGCGAAGAGGGAAATATCGAATTTGTTCACACTTAAGACAATGATGATATTTATCGTTGGTTATTGGGGAGAACTTTTACGGTTGTTTTGGATTTGTTAGGATAAGGAGTAATTCAACACCAAATATAGGATGGAACTTTCCATGTACTTTTGACTGATGATTCTTCCGTTGACAAATAGACTCACTCATTAATCTGGAGGGAAAAGACTGGGACAGATTAATCACAAAATATTCCATCCCGCTCCATTCCAAGTCTCCCCAATACATCAAATTAGCTAATTGACTATCGAAAAACACACCTGCTCTCCATCATCCCACGGACAATACGACGCCTATCATATATCGTCTAATGCCTCTGCAAATAAGCTTCTTTGAATTCTATTGTTCCGCCCACGTCCACCCCCGTAGAACACATAAATTCCAATCTGTCACTTACCTATACTAATATTTACAGTCAATTGTGTCAGCAGCACCAGGGTGATAAATGTCAGCAAATGCAGATGAGATCGTACTTTTCTGCTGTTGCTGTTGGTACTACTGCTGCTGCTACTGCTTGTAGCATTTCTACTGTTGTGGCTGCTGGCGGCAGTGAAGGTGGTGGCATTGGGTGGTAAAAGCAACGAACAAGGGTCTGTAGGCGATGGGCTTCGGCTGCTTCCATCATCATCATCATCATCATACACGTGCTCATCACCACCCAGCACATTACGCTCGTAGCCACGGTAGTTACTAGTGTGGTTGACCTCATCGGAGATTTGTCGGTTTTCCGATGCGAAACCAACTCGGCAGCTGAGTACACACTGACCTTCGGCTCCGGAAGGAACGCAGGTTTCGGTCGGTGGCTTCTCCTCGTGGTCCAGCGCTGTGCCTTTCGCACTACCGCAGCCGTAAATTTCCATATTTCCTAGTCGCTTTAGCCTCATTCTAACGGTTATGATTTGTTTATCGAAATCGATAATTTATGGTTGACTTCTTTGCGCTGCGCTCGTTCCGGATGTGCGCTTTTTGCCACCCGGTTGCGAGTTTTTGCGGCTAAATTTATGACCTCGTATTTATTTTGATATTTCACGTTCGGTGTTCGGTTTCCCGCTCGAAGCACACACACTTCCTACGACACAACCTATACCGACCTGAGTGTGCCCGTACGAACACGCGGGGATGCTTTTTGCAATTTGCCGCTACGCTAGCTTTTTACAACCTCTCCTGCCCCCGCACCAGTGCACAGACAAATGGTCGTGATTTGTTTTATCTTGGGTTTTTGTTCCAGGGAAAGCTTTCAACACTCGCCACACAGCGCGACGAGAGTACCAAGTCTTTTGCAGCGCTCGTGTTCTCTCTCGATTGGAAATCGATTTGTTCACTTTTTACCCCGATGTTTTTTGCTATTGCTGGTGTTGTTGTTTTTGTTTGTTGCTGTAGAAAATGGAAACAAACAGCAATCTGTTCAAATCTTCATTATTCTGCAGTCCAATATGCGGCATACGGGTGTCGCTCGATTTTCCGGAGGTTCAATTCTGTGGAATAAATGAGAATGAGTGATGTTAATTATAATTATTCATAAATGTCGAGTTGATAGTAAGTTGTGAACTGGTTAATAAAAAAGAGATTTTTTAAAATTCTTTATAGGGGTAATTTAAGCCACTTCTGGGCTAGTTACTGTAAGAACTGTCAAAAACCTATAAATTTACACGCTAGTGTTCGTGAGATTCTGCTTAGCGAACTGAGTTTTGATGATTTTGGGCCGTCCCTGTGTTGAAGTGGGATTCAGAGGGACGGTGAAAATTCATTTGCATCGTTAAGTAGAGCTTTACATTGTTGTTTGTTACAAAATTCATGCACCAAGTTGATTAACGCGTTTCTGGGTGGTGCTGTGCATAGTTCGGTCTAACAAAAATGTAACCTCTAATTGCATATAAAGAGGTACCAGACACTATTTTGTAACTCTGAGAGGTACAGCATACATGACATGGCTCTTTTGGCGGGTGCAAAAATTAACGTCAATTCTTTTTAGGTTGTCGTTATAGGAGGATGTGGGGGTTTGTTATATAAAAAGTAGAAGGGTCTGTGCCTAGGGGCACGAACGGAAGCTTGACGTAGGACCGCTAGTGGACGGAATAAATGTGAAGATCATTTAGTTCTTTTAATTGATCAATTATCTATTACCTCAACTCTTTCCGTTTTTGAATTGTAGGCGTACCAAATTTGTAGTATTTTTTTTTTTCAAAGAAATTAAGAGAATCAATCAAAATCACTTGCACCCCTGCTTCCAAGTTTGGTTACAAGATTACAACTCTGGAGAGCATTTTGTGGGGTCGTTGGGGGCATGTGGTTCTGAATATGGGCCAACAAGCACAGATAAATTATATTCCAACTCTTTACTGATGTAAGCTTGATGGCCCTGAAAAGGGCCGTTTTATTGAAGCGGACATCCATGGCCCCTTATGCTGGGCGTGTTTAGTGTAGGTGACAGCACCACGGACCTCATTTTCCAGGAACACCATCAGCACACCTCGTAGATCAGACCGGAGATACGTTTGACACCACCACGGCGAGCCAGACGACCGATGGCGGTTATCTCAAAGAACTTTGCGATGACGCTTGGTGCCTCCTTTACCAGACCTTTTCCTCCTTTGCCACGACCAGTCAATTGTTGCTTGTTAGGTGTGAAGGAGTGGACTAGCCACCACCTTCCTACTGCTGCTATTGCTGTTCACCACGCCATCCGAAGCGAAAATGAGCTTATGCCATAGTAATAGTAAAATTTACGTTTATTTTCTGGGTTTTTATGTTTCAACATTTGATTTAACATTTCAATTGGTTAGCCTTTGGCTCTCCATCTTTGTTCTAGTTAATTGTTTATTCTAATGTGATGATTGCGCTTAGCGCTAATTTACAGGATACCCTTTGTGGGATTGTTTTGATTTGAATTTAAAAATTTGATAACCTACCTACTTGAACACCTAACTACTTAAGCTAGGTTGCCATATCACGAATGATCTGGTGGTTTGATCGCAAACAGGCGACTCTGAACCTTTCCAGCGTGGAAGTCTTTCACTCCTCGAGTGTTTGAAGACCGGCCAGGTGGTGAATCTAAGAATTACGAGTTCGCGGTGGATTGTTAAGGATCATTATGAGGATCTTGTTTTGGATCCTCTGAAGCTTTAAGTGGTGGCACTTAGCACAACTCTCCCAGATTTGCATACCATACTCAATAGCCGGCAGAATGATTTGCTTGTGGACAGCAAGCTTGTTTTTGAGGGATAGGGTGGACTTCCTGTTTAGCAGAGGGTAGAGCGACCTGATCAAGATGTTACACTTGGTGGATGTCTTGTCCACATGGGATCGGAATAGCAATTTGCTATCGAGGGTGAGACCAAGGTAGACTACTACACTCGACCATTCAATGGGAATGCTATCAAGGTGGACCTTGACGTTAGCAGATGGAACAAGCCGAGGTGAATTCGAGTGTGGAAACAGAATGGTTTGTGTTTTAGCTCTTGAAATTGTGTAAATTACTACGCCGCTTACGCTTGGCGTGTTTAGTGTAGGTGACAGCATCACGGAACTAATTTTTCAAGAACACCTTCAGTACACCTCGTAAATCAGACAAGAGATACGTCAGACACCGCCACGGTGAGCCAGACGACGGATGGTGGTTATCTTGAAGAATTTGCGTTTGGTTCTGAATGTGCAAAATGATGAGTGTGCAAAATATAACGCAATTCCATCCTCCCTATTTGCACGCGCCCGAGGATCGAAGGCGAATGCCACTACGACTTGTTTCGTCTACTTCCTACTCTCTGACGACTGTGCTGGGGAATCAGCATATGGATGTAGGTAATTGGTGGATTTGTTAGTTAATTCGACGCTTTTGGACAATGCTGGACAGTTTTTCAAAATTTTCTGGTTGAAAATTAACATTCAGAAGCATTGGTATCGATGCGTAACCATATTTCCGATCAATTGGTGAAAAAAGTATTGAAATTGGACCAGGGACAGCTGAGTTATTAACGTTCAAAATCTTTCTTAATTTGTTACATGTTCCATTTTCGGTTTTCACAAAGTGTACCCCCATATAGAAATCAAAGACGTAGTCCTAGGTCAAAATAACACTCGTCGCATTTCATTTTATTTGAACTGGACCGAAAACAGTCTCAATAACTCTTTCTGTTGAATATGTGTGGTCCTGAAAAGGACCAATTGTTCGATCTCCACAAATTCCACATCCTCTCCACCCCATCGTTGGTTATCATCAATCAGGTGATCACGCTGAATGTTGCTATTATAGCACACCGTCCGTCCGATGCAAAAATGAGCGGATTCACAACAGCAAAACTCTAGCCCGACTGCGGTAATGTTCGCCGTCCGAAGCTTTAATGAGCGGAAGAACGACAGCAAAGCTCTTATATAGTTTTAAATGTTCAAGCAAAACGATGCGCAACCAATTGGTACTCGATTTTGACGGCTTGGTTTGGGAGAACGTTTATTTCATTGAAACAGTGATAAAATTATCACTTTTTAACTATACATTTTTCAACTATTTCAGTTGAAAACATTTGAAAAGCAGTTTTTTCCTATCGATTCGTGAATTCGGATTTTAATTTCATCTATAAATGACACAGTTATAAGCGTTCAAAGCCTTGCACCTTTTCGTGACAGTCGCAATTCTAGATTTTCGATTTACCCCCAGTACCTTCCCGTAAGACGTAGTCTACGTCAAAAACAAGAGAATTCACGTTCAAACTACTTTTTTCCAATTCTTACGATGCCTGTATGCTACTGTCAACTCTACATGATTCGATTAAAAAACAGTCTACTTCAACTAATGTACGCTAATGAAAAGTATCAATTTGCTACGAGTCGACCGTTATTCATAATACGCAGTGCGTGTTCGTTTATCATTAAGTTTTTATGCAATTTTAAGGGCTTTTGGACAAACTAGTGTCTACTAGAGTTCTACAAATATAAAAGACAAATTTCTGAGATTTTGGTTACTATGCAAAATTGGACATCTTTCACTTAATTATTAACTCCATAAACCGAATGAATGGCCCTTGTTTTTCGCAACATACGAGAACACAACGAACCTTTGCGGATTTTCGGCTGAGGAGAATATGGCTCGTCTACAGAAGTGTCTACGTGGGAAAGCATTGGAAGCGGTCAAATGCCAGCTGTTGCACCCAGCCAACCTGGATCAAGTTCTTTCAACGTTGCGAATGCTGTTTGAGCGTCCAGAAATCATCGTACATTCGCTGCTGCAGAAGATAAACACTCTCCCCGATCCAAAAGCAGAACGCCTAGGTACGCTCGTCGATTTCGCGCTGGCCGTTCGCAACATGGTAGCAACAGTGAAGGCCTGTGAGTTAGAGGAGCATCTGTGTAATTTGACCCTGCTGCACAATCTGGTTGATCGTCTTCCACCGATGATTCGGCTGAATTGGGCGACCCATCGTCAGCCTCTTCGATCGGTAACTTTGTTGGAGTTCAGCGAGTGGCTGTACAAACTGGCAGAAGCAGCGAGCACGGTGACGATGCCTCAGTTCTCGGGCTCCTTCGACAACAAGACACGCCGGGAACGGAAGAACGATGGATTTCTGAACGCACACACCGAGACGGTTCCGAAGGTCAACCAAAGCGACGTTGATAGCGGATGTGTCATCTGCAACGGCAGCTGCGTAGCAGTGGAGAAGTGTAAGCAATTTGTTTCGATGGAGCTTTCCGCGCGATGGGCTGCACTCCGGGAGCATAAATTATGCCGTAGCTGCCTGGGGAATCATCGAGGTCCTTGCAAGTCCGGGAAGTCGTGTGGCAAGAACGGTTGCCAATACAAGCACCATCGGATGATGCATAACGACGCGAAAGACAATTCAATCCCGTCGTCTGCTTCAGGTTCGCTGCGCATCAAGCCAACGGTGGCAGTCCCCGAGAAACCAGGTCCTGCAACACGCATCGAGGAGGAAGCAAACCTGTACTATTCCAGTACGTTCCGGTCACGCTGTACAATGAGGGGCTCAAGGTACGAACCTATGCGTTCCTGGACAGTGGATCTTCCTTGACGTTGATGGAGGAAAGTCTGGCGAAGGAGCTGAATTTGCACGGCGAAAGGCATCCACTCTGTCTCCGCTGGACTGCCGATACTTGCCGTTACGAGGACGATGCCATGCGTGTTTCCCTCAACATTTCCGGCACGTACTACGGATGTCCTCAGAACAACCTGACAGATGTCTACACGGTTAAAGAGTTGAAACTTCCGTCACAATCGCTCTCCATTCGCAAGCTTTCGGAGGAATATCCTCATCTCGACGGGTTGCCAATCGAATCGTACAGCAACGTTCAACCCAAGATATTGATCGGGATGAACAACGTGCGAGTGGTCCACGCCCTGGATAGCCGTGAGGGGAAGCCAAATCAACCAGTAGCTATCAAGACACGCGTTGGATGGACAATCTACGGAACTTGTTCGCCAGAGGATGGTCTGAGATCGAACATCGCCCCATATAGCTACCATATTTGC